CCCCTCCCCAGCTTCCTTGCCCTTCTCTGGACACGCTCCAGCCCCTCCATGTCCTTCTGGGAGTGAGGGGCCCAACCCTGACCCCAGCATTCCAGGGGCAGCCCCAGCAGTGCCCAGGACAGGGGCACGGTCCCTGCCCTGCTCCTGCTGGCCACACTGTTCCTGATACAAGCCAGGATGCTGTTGGCCCCCTTGGCCACCTGGGCACTGCTGGCTCATATTCAGCTGCCCGTCAACCAGTTCACAGAAGTGGTAAATAAACGGTTACAGTTCTGATAAAAAGAAAGTCTGCATTTCAGGGAGCTGAAATTAAGCCAGTGTCTAAGGTGCCAAGCATTTACTCCTCTCAGACTGACACTTTGGTACCTCTGCAAAGAAGTTTCTCACAGTACATCATTTAAAATGCTCCATCCTTCTTTTAGTGAAACTAAGGAAAAAAAAAAGAATTTGGAAAATTCCTGAAAATATGACAAAGTTTAAAGCTGGCAGACTACTATCAATCAGACCCTATTTGGAGATAGATATACATATATAAAAATATATCTGTCTCTATATAAATATATATATACACACTTACTGAATTTATATGATTCATGACTTTAACATGGAAAAATACAGCTTATACTAAATACCCCAATGTATTTGTTCAAATGGGTGTCTGACACGCTTCAGTTTTAAGGACATTGGGTGAAACTGCTCAACACTCTCAGAGCAAACTTCACCCAAATACTGCTAGAAGCATGGAAACCTTTGCAGAAGTGACAGCTCTGATCTCGGGCTGAACCAGGAATGCGGTCAGATCTCAACCACTGGGAAGCAGGTACTGAACAACATCCGTTCTGGGTCGCTGACTCTGGCAGCGTAAGTTGGGGATCTGTTACCTCCTAGCACAGTTTTTCTCAGAGCGCTTCCACGAGTGGCATGCAAAGGACAAAAAGTTTCCTCTCAACAAGGTCAGAGAAGCACAAAAGGCAAAGAACGTTTAACACTTCCAAGAGGCTCATCAGAACAAAGGATAATTTAAAAAAATGACTTGTCCTTACAGCGGCACGTACCACCCGGGTAGGTATTTATCTGCCCGGTGTAAAGCATTCTTGCTAGAGTACTGTCTGCTTCAAGCATTTTGCGTTTTCCTACCATCTGCGTTTCGTCTGCAGCCGTAACTAGGGACAGCTCCTGGTTTGGGGTCCAACAGAGAGCTCATGTGGCCAGAGCACACTTTGCACCCTCTGCTCATTTCCCCCCTCCCCCCCCGCTTCTATAACCTAACTATTGATGAGGATAAAAACAGGGAGAGGAACCGCAGAGTAGAAACTGGCAGAAGCAGCCCCGACCCTGTTCCCTTCTCTGCCAAAACTACTTTAGAAAAGTTAAGGAGCCTTCTGGCAACTGCAGGCTGCACACCTTAGTGAAAGTCTGCTGGCGCCTGACTACGCGAGTGGGTAGTTACTGTTTTGCTTCTCTAATCACCATCTACTTGTATGCAAATCACCTGCATGTCCAGTCCACAGGAGACGAGGCTGTGAGGCCTCTGAGGTCGAAAGGCGACGGAGGAGCAGATGTTTGCGTGTCTCAGGGACCGGCTGACTTTCTTGTTTTCCAAGTCCATAACCTTTATTGCTCCCGAGTCATCAGCCGCGGCCAAGAAATGGTCGCTCTCGTTCACCGAGAGGCAGTTGATCTCCTCCTCATTCACGTGGAAGCGTTCTGTGGGCTCCTTGAGGCATCGAACATCCAGCAGACTGATAGTTTCTCCGTGGGAGGCATACAGCCTGGTGGGACGGTGGGGAGAGAACACCAAGCAGGTCACGTCGTCCGCCTTCGGGAGCTGGAGCCGTCCTGCCGGAGCCACTCCCCCATCCCAGAGCGCCAGCTCGCCTCTCTCCGCACCTGAAGCCGCCAGCCCTTCCGTGTTTACGTTCAAGCACAATATAGGGGACGAGTGCCCACCAGTCCATTTGACTGCCATATTTCGGGGACACCTCTGAAACAAAAAAAAAAGCCCCAAACGCTGAATTCGAGCTGGTGTTGGTCGCGTGACGGCGGAAAGCTTACCCAAGCAACAAGATTATCGCGCGGGCTGCAACACACACTACGTCAAACTCTACCGTCCAGTTAAAATGGGCGCTTCCACCGGTGCCCAAACAAAGCTTTGGCTCGCAGAGCATCGGCATCGGCCACGGCAGCGCCAAAGGGCAGTGGCGCTGGAGCGCGTGCCCGTGCAGCACTGGGAGCAGGCCCGCTGCTCTGGCATGGCTGCGAGCTGCTGCCTCTGCAGCCCTGGCAAAACAGGGGCACGGTCCCTAAGCGGGGCCTGCTGGGATGTTCTCGCGGCTGGCTAACACTACAGGACGCCTGCATGAAGCGATAAGCAACGGCATCTTTCTAAAAAATGCATTACCCTTTTAAGGCAGGTCCTTAGGAGCTTCACAGCCGGTTTAATTTGGGCTCAAAGCGCGCCGGTCCAGCTTACTGTGCTCCTGGCCCTCTGCTCGGTGTGACTGCCTGCCACCGGTCCCGCTCAGGGGCCAAATCAGCAGAAAATGAGGCAGAGGGGGAAAAAAAAGACCCCAAGCAAGAGAAAAGCACAAGTTTTGGTGAGAACTGCATGCTGTGGGAAAGGAGAGCTAGCACCGGGCAGGACGGGGCTGCGGCTGCCCCGGCACCAGCTTTGGCTGTGCCATGTCTATGGTTATTGGGCAACAGAGGGTTTCTTGGGGGGGGGGTTAGGGTTTTTTTTTTGCCGGGTTATGTTTTGCCCGGGGTTTTTGT